CGATATATGCCCGATATTAGGGACACACCATGCACATATCGGGTACCCGATATGTGTATGTTTTATCAATTTTCGACTAGTGGATATCTGTCAATATGTGCCCGAACTTCAGCACACTCACTCTACCTATCAGGAGCCCAATATATTAAAATTTATTTAAAATCGGGCACCTATCGCATACCTATCGGATGTCCGATAGGTGTACGATAGGTGCTGATTTTTCACAATTTGACCAGTGATAAGGGCTCGTAAAGGTATAAAAAAGAGTTGGGTTTGGGGGATAGTGGAGTATTTGACTTCATCTTTCTTCTTTCGAGAACCGCATTATTAATTCAATTTGTTTCGAGCTTGATGCTAATTGATACTTCTATTCCAACAAAAGCATAAAATCATTTTTTACCCTTTCAAAATCTACATTCATTATAAATTAGGAGATGGTTAAAAAATATCAGCACCTTGAAAATTTATCATTAATAATGTAATACAAAATAATAATAAATAATTATTAATAAATCAGTTTTTGTAATAAAAATTTTAACAAAAAAAATACAAAATGGTAGTGGTAGTGATGGTTATTGGTCTGTTACCTACTACTCTAGTTATTTTAAGTTTATTTTCAATAAAAATAAAAATCTATTTGTGTAAATTATACTAGGCAAATAATATTAAAATATTGGCCCGTACCGCATTAATGTATATTTTAATCTTACAATATTAAACGTGTAATAAAATTTTTTTAATTACAGGTTGATAGTAAAATATTTATTTAACATTAATAGTTCTATGGAAATTTCCTGATTTAATATTCTCATAACAGGTATTTTATTGTTTTTTATGCTCAATAGCTGTGAACATAAATATCTGCGAACATACATAATTGATAAAAAATATGACTATTATTGCTTTTTTGATTGATTTTTTTGTGCGAATTGAAAGAAATGAATAAAAATAACAAGAATTCAATGTCAAGGAAATTTTATCAACTCGAATTTTAGATATTTACTTGTATAATAATGTTTTTGAATTAGTAATGACTGTCGTTTTTATTATGAATGCATTAAGTTCCTATTGTTGTATTAAATTTTCTTTTATTAAGTAATTACGTTAGAATCCTTTGATCCCTAAGTTGCAGCCAACTTACAAAAAAAAATTCTTGTTTAAATCAGACATTTTTTGTACATAAAAGGATTATTTATTCTCAGCATTTATTGTTATAATCCAAAAAAAATAGGTCGACAACAAAAATTCGTTAAAATAGTAAGGTTACTCAATTGGGAAAAAAAACTCCTGTTATTTCCTAGTGTCAAAAAAATTTTATTGTAGTCAATATTTATTTATTATATTCATCAATTTATTTAACACGCACTCAAATTATAAAAAAGTAAACAATGAGCAATTGAACCAAAATTGTTTTAGTTTTTATTTTTATTATGTAAAATAAATTCCAAATGTCAAAATCTAAATCAACTAATAAAAATTCTGACACTAGCTAATTCCCGAATTATATTGTTTTAATGAATTATTATTTATTAAGAAATAAATAAACAAAATTATTAATGAGTAAGTAAAGTTCTTGCTTGAGTATTAATACATGCAAAATAAGTTCGAATGATTAATCCATGCAACAATTTTGACTCAAAGTTAATTCTCATAGTAAAGATATATTAACTTTACACCAGATTTAATTATTGATGAAATTTTAATTAATATTTCGTGTGAAATTGTTGCATATCACATTTATAATATACAAAAGAAAATTAAAATTAAATATTATTTGAAATATTAAGAATATTATCTATATCCTTATTCTTCAATAACTTTAAAAAGTTAAGTGGTGATAATCATCCCGTTTGTCTTAAGGTTCGATACGTAATCCCCTTAATTTATTTTTTCCTCGTTTACCACACCATCCTTTAAAGAATTTATGTAAACTATCAGCACAAAATGTTCAAAGATTATAAAACCCATTCTAATTTCAATAGTTTCAAGCGATACTTAGCCATTTGACATCAGTATCAAATATTTCTCCACAATTGGTGATGATGATTTCATATTGTTACTATCATCTGGATCAATAAGTTGTTGTGAATATATAGAAATAAAATCAACTGAATTAATTTGAGTGATCCATTTTTAAGTTAAGTTTTAACTTGAATATCTATACATAAAATATAAGTTCTTGACTTCTTATTATAATCCATCCAACATTTTTGACTCAAAGTTAATTCCTAAAGTATAGGTATAGTAACTTTACACCAATACCAGATTCGATTAACTAACAATGATGAATATACTGTAATCTTGAGTTTAACGATATTATTTAAAATCAAAATTAATATTTATGTGGTAATTTTAGTTGCCATTTTCTTTTTTTAAGAAATAAAAATTTTATTAAATAAGAGTTTTTTTTTAAAAAAAAAAAATAATTGTACCACATTATAATAAATAATAAATAGTTTCAGCTTTTTTTTTAAAAAAAAATAAAAAGATTTTCGCATTTTGTTAGCTTTATCGTTTCGGTATAAATTTTTTTTTTCGTGCAATGTAAAATTTTTCTAATCAACTTCATATTAATTAAATTAAATTAGCAATATTAGCAGTTTAATATCATATATATAGTAAAATATCTAAAAAAAATAATTTCGTGAATTGTTTCACGATTTTCCTTTTCGTAACTCTAAAAAAAAAATTTAATGCTGTTAAAGGATATATTTTAACTCTCCGTAAACATAGTTAATTCTTGATTAATTAATCTTTAATAATTATAATTATTAATTATTTCGCAATAAATTTTGTTCTATATTCTAATCGTTAGATGAAGAGAAAGATAGATGATGAGTAAGTAATTGAATATAATTTGTAATTTGAATTTTTTTTTCATTTAATGGAATTAAATTAATTATTATTAATTTAGATAAATATTTGTATCTCTAATTATAAAATATACAACGGAAAACTAGAAATCTGATCCTGAATCTTGTTTATTCAATTAAGATTAAATTATTGAGAGCAAAAACATCAGAAAATTTTTTAGGCGCAAATCTCTGTAATATTACGAAGGTGTCGTAATATTACGGTATTTATACCATCCTTTTCATTTTGAACTCGATCGCGATTTGCAGGACAGGAGGGATTTTTGATTAAGATATTCTTATAACCGAACGAAATCCTTGATTCTGAACTACAAGATGAAATGTGTTTTATCCTTTTAGCACTGATATCCGCCGATATATTACGGTTTAAAATCATAACGGCCCGTATAAATACCGTAATATTACGTGTAGGTGTCGTAATCTTACGGAAATTCACGCCTAAAAAAATTTCCTGAATTATCCCATGCAGATTTCTTTCTTTTTTATTTTATCAATTGATACTGCCATTCCATAATAACTATTAATTGGAATAGGTGTTAAAGATTTTTGTCTTCTAACCTGATGATCCTCTAAATAAATTAATTGACTATTACGTATTTTTAAAAGTGACTAAATTATCTTTTTTTTTTTTAAATCAACGTTAACATTAAATTCTTTTTAATTTTAATTAATTAATTAATTAATTTAAGCGATAAAATAATAAAATCATATAAAAATTCCATAAAATCTATATACATGGTATATTTCCATATTCAATTTAACAAAAAAATAAATAATAAGATGAAAACTAAATATACGTATTTTCCGATTTGGTATTAAAATGTTCATCACTTAAAGTAATAGTCGCGATCCTATTACGATTATATTTCTATTTACTCCACCTTTACAACACCACCCTTCAAAAAATTTCCTTAAACTACTAGCACCAAATATCCATTACCCATTATAATTTCAATAGCTTCAAGTGTTTTGGTACCAGCCATTTGACATAATAATTTATTAGCATCAAATCTTCTTAATTTATTAATTAAAATTATTATTAAATATTTCTATTACTTGTCCAGAATTTAGTAATTATAATTCGGTAATCTTTGTACAATAATTTAAAATTGCTGAAAATATATCAAATGCAATTGTGGGATATAACTGTAGACAAATATTTTTTAAATTTGCATTGGAGGTTTCGAGAACTTTTATAATAAATTTAAATTCTCGAGGTTGAGACCTCCCAAGAAGCCACTTAATTGAGTAAATGATGAAGCCAGGGATAAATAATCTGGATTATATAATCAATGACAATATTCAATGTATAGTTTTTGAATGCCCTTCAAAACGATCTAAATTTATTGATCTTAAATAAAGACTAATGTTTTTTTTGACTGATGATAATAGCCCAAAATAATGAATTACAATCTTAAACAATGATTGATTAATTTTTCTAACCGTTTTTGGACACTTATAATAAAGTTAATGACTTATTTTCTAAAGTTACACAATCAATGGAATAAATTGATCATATCATGAAGTGCATCTCATAACTTTAAAGCTTGATGCAGCAACTTGACACTATGACAATGGACAAAAATGATTTTTATTTTATTACTGCAGGATTCAATTATAAGAATTTTAAATAATATAGATAGATAGATTAAAGAATTTACATTACTTTTTATAAATTCCGGGCAAATTTACCCGCGATACCGTTTAAGGTTTTCTTTTTTGAAAAAAAAAACCGGATCACTTGCATATAACGCTAAACTAAATATCTTAAAGCAAACCAAAAATAACAGAGAAAAATAATATTCTCACGAAATCAAGCAAAACTCTAGTAAAGTGGCACCAAAACGGATTATTTTTGAACCATTTCAATCATTATCCCATAGATTGTCGGTTTTCACATGCTCATAGTTTTAGAAAGCAAATTTGCCTGTCCAACAGATTAAGGGATATTTACAATAATTAAAGGTCATTATTGTGTATAAAATGATTAGAAATTTAATCATTCTGTAAATCTTAACAACAATGTTTTCGACTAATCTTAGTTTTTTAATTTTCGTGCTTCAAGATATATTCTTGGTCTTTGGTACACTTATCATTTCTTATATCATTTATTTTTATATTTCTTATTTCACTCGTTTAAATCCATTGCCTGGTCCTCTTCCTTTACCAATTGTTGGAAATTCTCTTGCGTATTCTGGTGATGCAGGGAAATTGGCTCAAGAGTTACGTGAAAAATACGGTGACATTTATGAAATTTACTTAGGTTCAACTCGTACCGTTTGGTTAAATCGGGCTGACATGGCAGACAAAATTATGTCAGCAAATAATCGTACAAGCGAAAATTTTAATTTAGATGAAATAGGTGTTTCTGACAAAGGATTTCTTTTTAATAGAAATCTTAATGATGTGATTTTTCATCGAAAAATTTTTGATAAAACTATTATGACTTCACAATTTGGTAAAAAATTTGTGACCATAACTCAATCATTATTCAAAGAATTGGAATCACTTTGGAAAGATAACGGGTGCCTTGAAGGGGATAAAGAAATTGATTTTATTTTATGGATGGAAAGATTTGGTTTTGAATGTATTTTGAAATTAACCACCAATTTTCGAGCATACGCTTTAATCAATTATTATAACTTGTTAAATTATAAGCAAAAAGTTAAAGTTCCAGAGAGTTCTTTATCTTCAATTGATACAGAAGGATTTACAAAGAGTTTGCACGCTTATTTTCATATTCTTCATCACTTCTTTTTCTCTGTTAAATGTTTGTTGCGAGCCCCTGGAAAAAGAAAAACTACAAATTATTTTTTAAGAAATAAAGATTCATTAGATTCTAATATTATGAACATAATAAAATTGCAAAAATCCCAGATTGAAAATTCTAGTACAGATGAACCACCTGAAAACCAAGATCTTTTAACTCAATTATTAATGTCAGATGTTAAAGATGTTAATGTCAGACAAAACTTAGTTGAAATATTGAATGGTGGAACTGTCTCGGTATTTATTACTTTATAAATTTATTACATTGATAATTCAACACTCATTATTATTAATCTATTATTAATTAATTAAAAGATTCCAAGCTTTGTATGTCACATGATCTACTTTGTCGCTCATCATCCCGAAGTCTTGCAACAAATTCAAGAAGAATTAGTAAATGTAATAGGAACCAATGAAGTTTCAGAAATTACCCTTGAAGACCTGAATAAACTAAAGTATTGTAAGGCAGTTTTAACAGAAGGTACAGATTTACACAAATTCTTCGAGTTTCCATAAATTAAATCGTTACTAATTAAAATAAATTTTTACTATATCAGTCGGTCGTTTACACACATTTGTACCTATAAATGCTCGAGTATCTTCAAAACCAGTTTTTATAGATAATTATAAATTCCCTGCCAATCAACAATTCATTATTAATACAACAGCTATTCATTTGGATCCTAAAAATTGGAATAATCCAGAAGAATTTAATCCTTCGAGATTTTTATCAAGCGATGTGGCCAGTAAAAATACTTTATTGATGTTTGGTAGTGGTCCCAGAATTTGTAAGTACTTTATATCTACATACTCTATTAGTATTTATTTATTGTTATATATATTTTTTTTTAATTTTTTTAATAGGCCCAGGAAGAAATTTAGCAATGACTCAAATGAAAACTCTAATGGTTTTAATCTATCGAAAATATGATATTGAATTAGTTGATCCTACTGCACAAATTAAATGTAATTATGCATTTATTAATCAATGCCATGATTTAAAGATTAGAATCAAACATAGAAAAAAATGATTCGTCATATGTAAAAATATTTTTCGTTCGTAGTATGTTATTGAAGAATTTTTATTATTTTAATATTCCATTTTGTCAATGTGATTCATAATAAACCACTTTGGAGTTTTTTAAAAAAAAAATCGCTCTTTTTGGGAAAAAGGAAATGTTGAATTTTTAAGAAATTTTCTTTTAATTTTTTTGGTAAAAACGTCCATAGTTATAGTGCTACAATATGATCAACTTATTCCTTTAGCGATCACCATTTCACTTTCTGTAAAAGCCCTTTTATATATTTAGCAAAGGAAATGGTTTCCACTTTTTTGGGATTTTGAATAAATAGATCAAAATAAATTTTTATTCTCGTGTGACACGTAATTTTTTCTTTATAGATAAAACATTGAACTTATAAATTTATATTTTAAAATTGGTGTAACTTCAAAGTAACGAACTTCTTTCGGAAATTCCATAAAGAAAAATAATCATAAAACGAAATTATTGTATCAAAGAATTGGATAGTATAATAAATAAACAAATTAATGGTTATTAAGAAATAGAGAACGTTTCATTCGTTATTTTTGAAAACACGCGAACTATATTTAATTTAAAACGGAATATGTATTAATTTTTCGTAACATTTTTAAAAAAGCTATTCAATATGATAATAAAATAAATCATAAGTAGTTATATATTTGAAATTGCAAACCAATAATATAACATATAGAATAGAGGCATAATATTTGTTGAATCCATTAATCCATTATAAATAAAAAACAGAGTTTCGAGAAAAAAATAACTCATTTTAAAAACATTCATTAAATTATTAGTGACAAAATAAAATTGGTCACTATTTGGATTAAATTTTATTAAATTAATATTGTATCAAACTGTATTTTTTTTTTTGGTTTATCAAATAATTTAACTTACAAAATATAAATTACTTATACAAATAAAAAAAAATACTGAAAATAAATAATCCTTTCATACACAAAACAAAATGAATTATTAATTTACTGTCACTGTATTTTTAAAGACACCTGTAATAACATAAATATATTTACAAATTTATTTACATGAATTCTCATACAAGAATAAAAAAAATGATCATTCCAAAAAAAATATAAGCAGCATATGCAACTAACATTTTTCTTCTTTTATTAATCAAACTCTCAAGAAATATTAAAGTTTTACTAACAATTAAATTTCAGCACATCTAGATGAAATATAATTTAATAAGATTAGGAACAAATTCTTTTTTTCATTACAATTATGCATATTTTCTAACTACTATTCTAAGTTTTTTTTCAAAATGTTTTAAAATATGAATTTAATTGAAGAAGATCTTACATATGTGATTATTGAATGTGATTACTGATGTGGTAATTATGGTGATACAATCATGATTTTATTATTGCACAATTAATTCGTGAATAAAACAACATCTAATACACATAAATAAATATATTATTGCGTGATGCCATCTTACAAACTATTTCCTTGTCACCTTTTAATTGTTCATATTCATCTAAATCTTCACTTAGTTCACACAAAAACTTAAAACACAAGAAAAATCTAATCGTTCCTCACTACCAGTATTTTTTACATATTCCTGGAGATATCCAAAATCATTTTCATGCCATATTTCTCTGGGATATTGACAGCAAGTTAGGTTTCCATCGATCAACTGAAGGTGTAAAATGATTTCAATGGAGTTTCCCAAAAAATTATTTTACTCTCTTTTTTCAAATGCACCAGGATTTTGTTATAAACATTCTATAAGAAAATATTGTTTTATTTTTAAGGGACAAGATAAATATAGACAAGTAGGAACCATATTTTGTTGAGAATTCTGGGGAAGAAAGAAAAATAAAATTGGAACTAGTTATTTGTACTTGTTGAGGAAAAAGACATAGATGGAAATTATTTGAAAAAGAAATGTTATTTACTTGGCATGAAAAAACAATTATAAAAGTATCTGATAAAACTTTGCTGAAATTATCATTTTTCAGAAATATCAATACAATATTGTAGTGATATCGACTCAATATTATGAAATATAGTTACAATATCTCTGTGATATTTTTTGGATTTATTACAATTTTTGTAAAATATTCTAAAAATATTGCAGAGATATTGTGGTGATGTTATTAAATGTCACCGTGATGCCACTGTGATATAAGTGTGATTTTTCTTAAAATTTATCCTATTTCAAATAACGTTGCAATATAGAATTGACATTAGTATCATATAGAGAATATATCATATCTATATTTTTAAATTCACCCGATTTCAATAATCATTGCAATATGGAATTGACTTTAGTATCATATAAAGAATATGTATATCGTATTGATATTTATAAATTCAATAATCGTTGCAATATTGAATGTTATTAGTATCATATAAAAAATATATATATTCAATATTTTAAAATTTATCCTATTTCAAATAATCATTGTGATATATAATTGACATTAGTATCATATAGAGAATATATTGTATTGATATTTTAAATTTTGTCTGATTTCAATAATCATTGTGATATAGAATTGATATTAGTATCATATAGAGAACATATTATTTGGTATTTTTAAATTTGTCCTATTTCAATAATCATTGTAATATATAATTGATATTAGTATTATATAAAAAATATATTATGCTGATATTTTTTTATATTTTAAAATTTACCCTATTTCAAATAATTGTTGTGATATAAAATTGACATTAGTATCATATAGAAGATATATCATATTGACATTTTAAATTTGTCTAATTTCAACACTCATTGTAATTTTTTTTTTTAACCATCGGAGTCTTGTTAGACACTTTAGTCTCTTCTTAATTAGTAATTAAATCCTATTATCAGAAAATTTATTAAGCAAAAATTTTCATCACATCACAAATTTGAGCAAGTTTGTGTAAGGTTTTTTCTGTTTTTTTGACTTCACGAGGCGCAGAGCGATTTTCTACTAAGGTGTTTCTAAGTTAAACTAATGGTCTTGTTCTTAGCTACAGAATGACATGTATTATGTCCCTGTAGCATCGATATTTGCAAAGATCTTTCGTTTAAAGAAAAACATTCGTGAAAATATCGTGCACACGCAAAATTTCATAAATCTTATGTGATTTTTTCACGAATTTTTTTCTTTAAACAGGATGATCTCTGCAAATATCATTTCTACAGGGATGAAACTTCTCTCAATTCGTATCTAAGAACAAGGTTGTTCTATCTATCTTAGGAATACATTAATAAAAAATCGCTCTGCACCTCGCGGAATCAAAAAAAATAGAAAAAGTTGCACAAAAAACTTGCGCAAATTTGTATGGATACTGTTAGTGTCAGTGTTAGTGTTATTGGTGATGTTGGCAATTTTGGTTATAATATTTTAAGTGAGCAATTAACAATCCATCTGCATTATGTAATTTATTTTATAAAGAAACTAGTATGATGGGTGGCACTTCATGCCACCATTTTATTTAAGATTGTTGTGGGATAGCACAATATATAATTGTATGAATATTAAGTTGTTATGCAGATCATTTACTGACGAACGTTTCTGCATGTTTTTTTTTCTTTTCTAATGGAAAGATACAGAGGTCTAAATGAAATGGCAAAGAAATTATTTTTTGGTATGGGTAAATTATTAAAAGCAGTCACTTGCATAAGAAAATTTATGTCAATCAAAGGATTTACAAAGATGAAATTCGTGTAACAAAACAAATTGAAGTGATAGTTGAGGACAAATTTGCTTTGATATGTAATATCGTGATAATGTTTATTTACATCATGATGATTAGTTTTTTTGAAGTTGTTTAAGCTTATTACATACGGACAGGTGATTTCGTAGAAATTTTTTGTAATAAATATTCAATCTTGTTTTAAGTGAAAAGATTAAATTATGCATTATGCCGTGTTGCACTGATACTATTGTGTGTTTCATATTTTTGTCCAATATTTTTCAATACTATTTCTATTAATATTTTCCCACCTGATGAAATCGTAAGATTATGTTCATCATCTTTAGTTTTGTGCCATTTTATTTTGACCTTTTGCATAAATTAATTATTGATGCTGTGAGGTTACTTTCTTCTTTAATCTTAATTATCTTGTATGTTTCCATAAATGATTCATCTGTCCATAAGAAATTTTGAAATTGTTGTAATCTTATGTTAGTTGTTATTCCTAATATATCTGTTATATTTAAGTGATCATTGATGTTTTTACCATTTATCTGGATTTTTGGTCATTAATGTTAAATACTTTGTAAACTTCATTTAAAAAGAATAAACTATTTATAGCTGTATGAGTGAAACCAGCTTTGTGTTTTATCACTTTTAAACACATAGAGTTTAGTTTATTGCATATATTTTCAGATAGAATTATATCATTAATAGGTATTCAATTGCTAGAAATAAAACATGGTTGATTATATATCTAACTTCTTTATCTGTGGCTCTTTTTCACTTCAGTATTTGGAAATATTTTTAACCTTTTCTTCTATCAATTTCTTTTGATATTGTTTTTTACCATTTGCTGTCATCCAAATATCTAATTTTCTCACATGCTTCCTCTTTTCTTTTGCATTTATTTCTTCTCCCATAAATTTGATAGTTCTTTCTTCTTTGTTCTTGGATGTATTGTTTATACATATAAGATGAGATTTCTCAGCATTGATTTGGGTACCTGTTATTTGTGAAAATTTTTCTACTATTTTTAATATCTTTTCCATTTGTTTTTTATCTTGAGAAATGTATGTGGTATCATCCATATATGCAAATGCATTTATCTTATATTTGAATCCCTTTCTTCATGAGTTCTCATATCACCATATTTTGTTTCTTCCATATAATAGCCCTCTGGCTAATTTTGGATTCTTGTTAATAAAGGGTCATAATATATTCTCCATAATAATGGTGATAAGGCATCCCCTTGTTCTATCCCCAGTTTAGAGTTAAAAGCGTCTGTCAATCCATAATATGTTATTACTTTATTAGTTCTATTTTTTAGTAATTTATTTATTATTGTTATAATCTCTTCTGGAATTTTTATTCTATTCATACTTTTCTCTAACATTTCTATATTTACAGAATCAAAAACTTTTGATATATCTTGTGATAAGATCCATATTTCTTTTTTAAATTCTTTAACTTCTTCTATACAATTGTTTAAAATATGTATGAGACCTTGTGTCAATCCCTCAGGTAGGCCTGCCCAATTGTTTTTATTTAGAATTTATGTTTTATTAAAATTGTACTGAGTCTATTATAAATTTCTTTTTTCTTACTGTTTCTAGTAAAGTTATTGGTCTGGTATTTCATATATTCTTTTCCAATCTTTGGATTTGGCTATAGGAAATATATATCCCTCTGGCCATTCTTTTGGAATATCTTTATTTTTTAGAATCTGGTTAAAAATATCTGTAAGAAATTGAATTACATTGTTACCCATATGTTTCCTTAATTCATTGATAATTGTAAATGAACCTTGTACTTTTTGTTTGGTAATTTTCTAATGATTCCCTCTATTTCTTCTATAAATTTTTTAGTTAATGGGAGTACCATTCCTCTTGTATTTCATTGTTTTGATTATAATTTGTTTCCATTCTTAATTTTGATTTAGGTTTTCTATGTTTTTTTGAAGTGATCCAGTGACTGAATACATTTTTAATTTCCTGTTTTATTTCTTCTGGATCTGTTAATATTTCAACTTGTTTATTAGTTGTTCTTGTTAAATTGTCTGTTACTATTCTTGATCTTTCTCTGTTCAAAAGACTTTTAGTAACTATTTTTTATTGTCATGGAAATTTTTATTTCTTTTGATAATTTGTTCTTTGATTCTTTTATAATTTTCATCTTTTATTTCTGCATCAAATACTTTGTGTAAAGTATGATGCATCTTTTTGATTTTTTTTAACCAATTTCTAGTCTCATCAGGTATTTCTGTCTATACTGGAGTTGTAATTTTTATATTGTATTCTTCCTTAATTTTTTTTAATTTTCTTTTTAGATTCCTCATACTTTCCAAATACAAGTTTTTTCTTTTTTGGAATTATTTCATTTGCTTCATTGACAAATAAATAGTAATAAAATTAAAATTTATTATTATTATTGTAATTGTAAAAAAAAATTTGATTTAACCAATAATTAATTAATATTTTAATCAATTATACTACATCAGAAAATTTTTAAAACAAAGAGGTTTTTTAATATTCTATTTTTAAATCTTTAGCTGTTAATTTGTAAAGATTAACATTTTGCAAATATCTAGATTTTATAATCATTAAGCTCAAAGTTTCAAATAATATTTTAACGCCCATTATGCAATGATTGTTTTATTTAAGAATATGGATTTCAATTTGATACAGGTATTCCCAAACCATGGTTGTGGTAATTCTAGGTGGATTGTATAGAAGACATTAGATAGAGAAATTATTCAGATTTGGAATTCTATTCGCCTTGTTGGTATGGAGAAATTATTTAGATTTGAAATTCTATTTGTCTTGTTGGTAATATACTTAAAATTGCAGAAAATAGTATTTTAGAATATTGTAGTGAAAAGTGAAATACCGCTAGTGACTGGTGGCTATACTTGGATATATTATGAAGATTATATACCACAGGATACTAACGAAGAATGGAGAGAAATAGTATATAAATTATATCAGTTCAAAGTTTCATCTCTAGGGCAAATTCAGTTAACAAATGGTACAATCACCTTAGAATTATTGTACAAAGAATATTTTTAATTCAACCAATGTTATATTTATCATTTGGAAGCATTAGTATTTTGTTCAAAAGAAGAAGACAAAGATTGTACAAATCATATTGATAATAATTATACCAACAATAAAGCATCCAATCTCGAATTGTGTACACAAAAGAAAAATACCCAACATGTCATGTACTTAAGCTTTGGGGTCACTACAAACATGTCATCAAGCAGATTTTTGATAATGGATCTTTTTGAAAATTTCCATCTATAGCTGAAGCACAACACATAACTGGAATTAAAAGTCAAAATATTGGACTAGTGTATTGAGGATTTAAAGCTTATGCTGGAAGATATCATTGGGAGTATGTAAACACAATATCACATAATAATCATGATGTTTTTTCACAGTAATGTAGAACCTCCAAAATTTATTTTTTCAATGATCACGAACTTGGTAATATTAATAATACTTTACAAATCAGGTGAGACATAACTTGTCTGTGCTATATGTATCAGCAATTATTAGATGTACAAAGATTTTCTCAATGAATATTAAGAAAAAAAGATGATAAGCATATAAGGAATGAAGAAATAATAAGGTAATACATTTGAACTATCATATCATACTTTTCATTTCTCGTATAGCAGTTTTGCAGTTATTGATGTTAAGTATAATATTAATTGGTTTGAATTTTTTTGTTACTGTACAAAGCAGATAAAAAGAAATTTTATGTGTGATGTAGCAATAGCTGTGGTTCAAGAATCAAATTCTTCATCTATAGATTACCTTTTGGATCAACGGATACCTCTTAATCAGAAAGTCTGAATTATAATTAATTTCATTTATAGGATAAAGACCTTAGGAATCAAATTAATCATCTATAGGAATCACATTAGTATGATCGCATCATGGAATTCAGTCAATTGATGTTCCTCGCTTTTTCTTTAATTAATATGAAATTGTGAAATTATTAGTTAAGAAGTGAGAAATTCTATCTTCATGATCAAGTATCTCAAAGCTAAAGAAAAATACTATGATACCAAACTTTGAATCGTGACCATTGGAATTCTAGATTTTTTCGAACATGTTAACAAGCTAGATCTACTGACAGATTATTTTTAGAGGAAGGCATTCCATAGTTAACTCTATAAGAAATCAAAAAAAAACTTTACAGCTAAAAGCTAAAACTAATTGTAGTACAAAAATTGGTACGATCATTTGTCATATAAAGTAATTAATAAATTTCACTTTGTTAAAGGATTAATTCAAAATAGAATAAAAATTGATCTATTTTATTATTTCAAATTACAAATTAACTATTATATGTAGACTAAATTACGAAATGGAAATTATAACCTAAGTCATATCATATCATGCGTTGAAATAAATAGTTCAGAAGAGAGATACTAGTCTAACATGGATAACAAAAAAAGAAGTTCAATTTTCATCATTTAATATTTATGCATATATTGACAAAGGTTTATAATTTTTGTAATCATCACTAAAGGCTGATATGTACTGTTGTATAATAGGTTTTTTATCTATATGAACTGATTTTTCAAGCATCTTTAATTCGTACTTCGTTTTCATATAAAATAATTCATCTTCTGTCATATCTAGAATCATATCCAACATTCTTTCATCACAAAATATAACAGTTTCTCTGAACTTTTTCAATAGTTATATTTTCTTCTAAACCTACTCTCTTATTTGCTTCTATAATCTTATCAAATTTGTTTCCCTGTTCTAAAACAAAATGTTTGATTAAGCTTAACGCCTTGTCATGGTCATCAATTCTTGCAGTTACAATAAAATATTGCTCGACTGGATTTTTAACTTTGGTTATGAAAAGGATAGTTCACTTTTCATTGCAATCTGTCAATATGACCAATACATCTAATGCAACATCTGTATTTTTGATAAGCAATTCTCCTTTAGCTTGAGATTCTTCGAATTTTAATTATTAAAATGGTTTCATTATTTCTGTATAGACACATCCTGTTAGACTTGGACCAATACAAATATTAAATCCACCCTGTAATATAGTACAAGCTTTATTTAATATTATTTCTTTTTTGATAGATTTATGAACATCTTCAACAGAATAATATTCTCCAATATTTAAACCAGTTTTTGACATTTGTCATTTGTTTGTCTTTATCTTTACCTATATTCCAATTGAATCTGTCGCACTCGATCGTTGAAGAATCTGAAAAATCTCTAACACTAAGCTTTATATAGAAAAAAAAATAAGAAAGAACCTACAGTATATTAAAAAATCACTGTTATAGTAAAATTATTATGCATACTCGTATATTTTCAAAACCCATAGTTTTCTCAATTTTGATCATCTTGGTACCGCTCAGCTTTGATACACTTATCCCTTCAAATGGTTTTTCTTTCATTGCTTTATTCACTACATTCTCTACAATCTTCTGTAAACTCCTATAATCTATAAAAAAGAGAAATACAAGATTAAGTAAAATGTTATTAATTGACATTCTGATCTCAGAATAGAATCTTACCTTGTATTTGATATGTTTGATCTGCAATTGCTTCATATTAATAAGAAATATAAGTAAAATAAAAGACAATATTGTACAAATTTTAGATGTCAGATGTAAAATTGTTAAAAAACAAGTTAGTAAATTTTGCAATATTAAACAGTTTCTCAAATCTAAGTATTACTACCATAATAACTTTTTTTTTACACTTTAAAGTTTTTATTGCAACAATTAACAGAGTATTATTAGATCATTATTTACCTTCTCTACCTTTAAGAATTTTAATCAAATATGAGATTTATTTTGCTGGTCTTCGAAATTAGCCATCATGCATAAGTTCTTCTTCAGTTAGAAGAAGAAATGTTTTGCCAGTGACCTTATTCCTTCTGAATATTTCAATATTCTCATTATCAAGGTCAAGCTATTCCTTTTTCTTTTGCAAAAATTATATAATATCTCCTCACTTCCACTTTTTGATTTCTTTAACATTTGGAGTTGTTGAAGTAATCTTTAAGTTTTTAGTAAATAAGGTAATTTCAGTGTACTTAACACTTTCTATAGAAACTATTATATTGATAAAAATGAGTTACTTCTTTACAAAAAAAATTCGCAATACATCATTTTACCTATAAATTGCTCTCTTGTTCCAGTAAACTTTTATTAATAAATTAGGTGTAAATTTTAAAGATATATATAATTTATTTTACATTTATTGAAACTGACTAAAAATAACATTTTACAGTCTGACTCATTGTTGCCTAAGTGTAACCTCAGGAACTGATGGCCAAATTCCCATCAGATGTAATTATTATATATATAACTATAATTATTATTATATTTGCATCCTAAGTTAATCCACATTCTAAA